TAATAAGCCTAAGTCTGCCTCCTGGGAAAAACACTTAATACATTTCCTACACATGGTAGAGATGACGCTTAGCTTGTGGAGAAGCGTTTCTGTCTTGGTATTGGAGATCGAATGGCTCTAACATTCCAACCATGTTCAGTACATCAAATCAAGTCTCAGAAAAAGCCTGAAAGGTTTATTCATTTTTTAGCCTAGCATAGGCGCCAAGGTACTTGACAACTGCATTATAGTGAAGACACTGTTTTTCCATTGGCCCCCTCCCCATTTTGGCCACACCCTTCTCCTTCAGCTCTGCCTTCTCTCCATCATTCTCTACTTTGGAGAGAAACTCACACTGATCTTTCAGGTGTATTTCACTCCTGAAAAACTCTTATTAGTGTTTTTATGCGTTCGAAGTTACATTAAATAGCCAAGGAAATTCTTGGTCATGGGCTCCTAGGAAGAGCTCCAGGGTATAGACCACTTTATTGCATCTGGATATAACAATGTCCTATAAAATAAGAGGGAAGTGACAGCATAAGAGGCTTTCAGAACAGACCAGCCCATTGAGTGCCTCTAACTGCCTGTAAGGGAGGATGTGAAGTGGACATAGCCACTTTTTTTCCAGTGCTAGGGAGGAAATGGGCACAGTCAGTTCAAGTCCTCTACCACATAGAAAGAGGTCCTTGTATTACTTTCCTTTAATTAATGCCATTTTTCTGGGTGGCATTAGTATATTTTGATAACTGTGCATGATTTCCATAACCAGTTGTTAAAAAGAATGTAAGGTACCTGAATCTGATATAAAGAATTATGACTATAATGTCTTTTACGGTTTCCCATTTCCCAAGCCCTTCTTTTGTTTTTCTCATTAAGCTAGATGTTTAGTTGCTGCATTGTATTATCTATTTGCATCATTATTTAGCTGTCCACTGTACTCTAGAAAGACTCTTTGTTAGAGCTGGTGAAATCTAAGATAAAGTAATCCTGAGGAGCAGGTGAGATTAACAATACCTCAAATTAGCATTTTTCATTTCCTACTTGTTCTCTCTCTGACTTTCCTAACATTGTTTCTCCTTGTTTCCTCACTATCTTAATGAATATTGGTATATTCAGACAGACATTGGTTGAACAGATGATCCAAGACCTTGGTCCCTACCTCTGGCATGCTTAAGGACCTGAAGAAAAGGTAGAGTGGCACTTAGGTCTTCAGATCTTGACAGCCAGGATGGAAACTCAGCAAGAACATGGTGATGACCAGAAAATAATCCAAAGCTTTCCATGGCTGTTATATTTCTACTTTCTGTGGCAAGTCCTGACCATGTGAAGAGAGTGTTCTTCCTCAGCCAGTCCCTTGCTCTTTGCACCTAATTTCAGAGATTTTGGGTGACTATAGAAAACATTCCATGTGTAAACAGTTATTCTTCACTGGTGAAAGATAGGCAGGCTCAATTTGAAACAGAAGTGGCAATGAAACTGAAATTTACCAAATCCTTTGCAGCTTTCCTCTCCTTGCCCCCACCAATATTTTTCCATATATCCAACTGAGAAAATGGTCCCGATAATAGGTAGTTATAGATGGCCTTAATGGCCTCAGGTTGCTCAAATTAGAATATTATCAATTGGCCTGTAGCTTTCCTGGATCAACTGGACACACATATGCAATCGGCATTACTACGGAGAAGCCATGTGTCCTTTGACTAGCTACCGTGGCACCATTTTTTTTTTTTTTTGCAAATTGTTAATACAGCCCTTTCATTTATGATGCCTACACAATTTTCCTTTGCAGCCAATTTCCAACTCGTCTCTTGTACTCTGAATTAATTTTCTTTTCTTCTCTTTCTCCTTAGGAGTATCCACCACTGTTAAACCTTCATCTGTCAGTTTCCCTATTCCCAAGACTATTAGCATAAAGTTTGGAATCATCAATCATCAACTAGTCTTGCTGCTCAACAGCGTCACCTGAGGAAGCCCTTCTCACTGTATTTGAAAAGATATGTGTAACTCCTCAAGAAATGCATAGAGTGGGGCTCTGTCAGGGTTTATATTATGTACTGGAGATATTCTGCCTTTGGATAATTTAAGAAGAAGGATATAATCCTAATTTTCCCCTTGAATTTAGTTTGTTCTCAGTGTGGTGAACTGATGGCATGCGTGCTTCCATGGGCATCGAGAGCCCTCTCTGTCAGCACATGAGCCAAGTCACCCCAGCATCACCCCAGCAGCTGAGAATCATCTGACAGCACACACAGGGGCCAGGTGCATGCTCAGAAAGGAGTAGCAGTGTCAGGTGACACTATTACCAGTCACAGCTCATTAGCCACAACTTGTCCCAGCTTCCCCACGGCTGGTCAGTATTCAGGTTTAATTTCAATGTGGGCACTTCTCGATAAGTAAGTGGATTGTGGATCACAGTTTGCGCTCTCATCCTTAAAAGATTCGTCATCACTGTTCTATCTCATTCACTCTTGCATTTAATGAATATTTGGGAGTCTACCATGTGCCAAATGCTGAGTTAGTCATAGAGGATGCTAGAACAAAACAGATGTGCTTTATAACTTCAGAATGCTTTCTGTCAGACTAAGGAATTGCCTCTGCGGGGCTTAGTACTCGTTCAACAAATGCAATGGGTGCAAAGGATTCTGGCAAGCACTGAATCAGTGCTCAGACTAACACTATAATTTCCTCCCTTTGGGAACAAGACCACTTCTAGTTCCTTAGACAAGAAGTTTGGACCAAAACTTTCTGTTTGGCTAGAAATAAATCAAGAACCCAGCCAGTCCTATTTTTCATCCACTTTTCATGCAGTGTGTTGCGAGCCCACACTCTTGCTACAACTAGAGGTTAAAGGCAGATAAAAGGCCAGGCCCTTCATCCAAAGTCATCTTTGATCTTGGGATCAGTTGCTGCTGACTTCTAAGTCCAGAGAGAATAAACTTTAGAAAACACCAGAAGTATGTTTCCCATTCAGAGCAATTTTAGTTATTCTGCTTTGTAAATGGATGGAAGTGTAGCTAAAAATAATGTGAGACTTGGTTGATCAAAGTCTGCCCTCCCTATCAGGAAGGGACCCATTCTGTTGCCCCAGCTTAATCATAAGGGGAACAAATGCAAACAAGTGGAAGAAAGTAAGAAAGTCTGGATTGTTGCAAACGTCTCCAGAGCCTCTCACATGCCGCTGGGTGGGGAATGGGCAGGCAGAGCAGGTGGTGTGGGCCTCGCTGGGATCCCTGGCTTTGGGTGGCTGTTTTCATGTGTGTGGAATGGCTGGGGTGGAGTGTGGGCTGAGTGTACTCTGTGCATGTGTGTTGTGTATACAGGCATCTGTGTGAACGCATTTGTGGATGTTAGTGTATGAGTGATAACGAGCGAGTCTATTCCCATGTGTATTTTAAATGAGTTGATTTGACACCTTACAGAAACTTGATCCATCATTAATTTGCAGCAGTACAAAGCATTGCATATTCCTGGTTATCTGGCTGTCCTCAATGGTCTGTGAGCACTCTCTCTCTCTGAATGCTGAGGTCCCTAGAGCTGTTAATGAAAAGCTAGGCTCTTAAGGAGTCCTTGTTGAGTGACCAGCTGCCAACAATTTGAATGCGTGCCTGCATCTGAAACTGTGGGCATTAGCCAACGGGTTGAGAGGGATCAATCTGGGCTCATAGACCTCCTTACCTTCTCTGTTCTTCATACATCAAACATGCCCTTTATTGAGTGTTCCATCGTCAAGTGCTCTGTTAAGTGCCAGGTAAGCCTTGAAGACTCGGAATTTGTCCTAAAGTAGTTCAGAGGAGCTCACTGTACCTTTCTCTTTATTCCACTCTTAAGAGACAAAGTTCAGGCCTTTCTCTTCTCCCTGCCTGGCCTTTCTAGCACTCACATGCTGATGACGCCCTCTTCTGAGAACTCATTTGCTTCATCAACTGACTCCTAAACCTCACTGTTGATTGAAGAGTCGTATAAAATCAACACATTTAAATCAACTCTCAGCCATCAGAATCAGCCTGTCACAGTCCATTCAGTGCAGACTACCAGATAAATCATTCTACAAAAACACTCCTATATTTTCACCATCCTACTCAAATCCACTCAATGACTCTGTATCACCTATCATTTCCCTACATGACTATAGTCTCACAGAGGGTCGAAAAAGGCCTTCTTCCTTGACAAGCAGTAGATCTGCTGAAAATAGACATGTAGAAATAAGCTAAGTAATGAATAAGGACATTTTAGATTATATAAACATGCTTACCCAGGCATTAAGATTTCTACTCTCAACACAAAGTCACTCACTCAACAAAAATGCCCAGGCACACAGAGCAGTCAGTTTGTTCTTTATTTCTCCTTATGATGATGATTAAATCTAGTAGCTGATACTTGTAGGTATTAATACTCCTCCTTTTAAGATGGAGTTTCCTGCCTCAACTCTTCACTGCATTCTTTGCTTTGCATCAAAAGAGAATGGTGGGAGAAGGGTGGGGGGATCCTTGTAAATGGCTCACGGGCTGCCTTCTTGGTAGCTCTACAGTACCATAAGCCTTGAGTCTGCCCTGCAGCTCTTCCCCTGCCCAGTTTCCAGAAGTGGGGTTAACTGTGCATCACTCTGGTAAGTCCTAGTCCCCAGTGAATGGAGCCGAGTTGCAAGGAGCAGATGTCTTGGGTGACACCACAGGCTGCTTGGTCAAGAACCCCTCTATAATGCTCTTCTCACATGACCTGTATGGCCAATATATGCATGGTGCTAGGAAAGTGGGCAGGGAGAGGTCAGAGAAGGTTTAGCAATGGATAAGGAGCCAAGCCAAGCTTTTGACAAAGAGATGGGTATTCCCGCTAGGTGCATGTGCCTTATATGTGAATCGGTGAGGAGAGAGGGGAAAACTGATTTGGCTAGATATAGCTTGGTAACAGTAAGGCATGTATATGAGACAAGATGGCTACTTAAAATGCAGCCATATAGAAAAATTTCAGGGTTTTTTATCTTTCATATCTTTCACTTTTAGCTTTTTGGGAATTAAACTTACCATGTCAGTGTCTGACACGGGGCCAAAACTTGTCACGTAGATATCGGTCTTGACTTCAGTCACTGCATCTGAGTGAAACAAAGTAGAAAAGCAGAGTGTCATGAAAGTCTGTTGCCTTCGCCCAGAGAGAGTTGGATACAGTACTGTGAAGGCAGCCAACTTTGTACTTCCACTAGAGGGTGTCTCAGCCTGACACAGCCGTAAGAAAATCCCTGAGAAACTTCTCACCTGTCCTACTCCTTCAGAGAGAACATGCTAGGTAGGTATAGGTATGAAGTAGGTATACTTTTAGATAGCCCTGAAAATCACAGCAGAGGCCACAAACTGCTCAACTTAAAGAGGGCCCCTGGAGACCAGGCCCTGTTTACAACCTTCTCAATAGACACAAAGGGGAAATATTAATTCATGGAAACTAAGAGCGGCTTCTTTTTCACCATTGCTTACAGATGCTCCTTTGCTCTTTCTTCATTCACTTTGGGGATTGACTGGTGAAGCAAATGCCTATATACCTCCAGTATGGCACAACGGTCTCCAATTACCTTACCCCCAACTACATACATTAAAGCAAATTAATTAATGAAAGAGATCACAATTAAACTTCAATCCAATATTCCAGGCAAGACATTCCAGACACAAGAAAACTTTCTAAACCAATATATTAATAAAATTGTAAGAAACTAAAGGTGAATTAGCTTTTCCTTTCAAAAATGTACTACAGTATTGGAAGCGCTTCAATAGTCCTGAAATAACCCACACATATATGCATTATGCGCATCTAGATAGGTGGACATGCACGTGCACCCTAACTCTCATTGAGATTACCGTTGGAAGACTATACAGGGATCAGGCCCCACACTATTTCTGCTTCCTGCTGATCTGAACAAGTAACAATCAGCCAATCCGCGAGTGATCACTGATTATGTTCAGTATATTCTCACAATAAACTGTATTTATAATTTAATTTCAAATACTACATGCCCAAGAAACCTTGAATTCCCTCCATGAAAACCCCAAGTCGGTAAGCAGTCTCTATAGGTTTCCCAATTCTAGCCACTCCATGCCAGCACACAAAAGCACACTTAATCTGAGTTCTGCCCTCTGGATCCACACAACAAAGTGTGTTTCCTGTTTCTTTTGAGATCTAAAGACCTTCAAAGATTTGTGATCATTGTACACCCGTCTGCTCTTCTTGATCCTTTCCAAACTAAGCATCTCAACTTTCTTAGACTGTGTCTCTCTTTTGCTCTTTTGACCCTCACTAGCCTTGATTCACTTTCCTCTGGCTCTTTCAGATGCTCTGACCCACTGAAATATGTTTTGTGGTAAGAATGTGTCACAATTCCACGAGACACAAGATCATGAGGTAAACAATATGAAAAAAGACCAACAACCCCTGTGTATCTCACTATGGGCCCATTGCAAGGCCGTTCTTTCGCAGAATAGTGAGGCTTGAGAAGTGGACTTTGTTTTGGTTTTACCAAGAAAACAACTGGCCAACTTTCTTGTCTTTTTACTTTCAAACTGCAAGAAATTAGGGGAAATAATTATCCATAGTTGCACCTACTTTTCATCTTCTAGAGGGACTGGGGTCCTACAAACGAGATCCCACGTGACTAACTCTGGGGTCCATTGTGAACGTGGACTTAGGGAATGGGCTGCAGTGACTCCTGGACAAGCTCTCAGAAATGAGAATGTGTCCTGATCTCAAGTCAGCGGCCTTTCCATTTGTCTTTGACAAGTTTTGAGGACTCAGGTACTATGTGTATTCATCGATACCCTTCTGGATCGTTAATCACAGAGAAACTGGAAGAATCAACAGGTAGCTAAAGGAAGCAGAAATTACTGAATATTCTCGGAGCTCCATCATGAGTTGTAACCCCTTTCCAGCTTTTGTCATTCGGCAGGATTGAAATCTGCCATCATCTTGTTTGTGTTTCTCCATCTATTACTCAGGACAGGAGTGCACAGCAAAACTAATAGCCAGCTCCTTTCCTCTGAGGACTTTAAATGAGAAGTACACACAATGCACTGTACTTATAACACAATACTGGAAAAAATACTACAAGGTTTCTAGGAGACCACCGTAATCACCGCCTTAACTTTTCAACTCCACTACTGTACTATCATAGCTGGAATCTAAACCCTCACAAAAATAATATAGAAGAAAATTCATTGCCTCTTCCCAGGGTTTGTAAGTACAGTATGGTTCATGGGTGCTTTGTTTGCAAACAGTTTGGTTCAGAATCAAAAGTGCTTGGCAAAATTTTGTTTTTGGGGCCACAGATTTAACTCAGTGATTACACTGCCTGCATTGCAAGTGCAAGGACCTGAGTTTGATTCCTGGTACCAAAAAAAATTTTTTTTGTTTTTGTTTGCAAACTCTGTATCAGGTGACAAACACAACTGCAGCCATCCTTCCCACATGAACACAAATGTGGCCATCGTTTCCAAAATTGAGTAAATTGAATTCATGAACTGAGGTATCTTAGATACTGTATCTTAGAGACCTCAAAGGTAACCTTTCAATCCCAAGTCAGATACAGCTATTAGAGGGAAAAACCATTGAGATCACTCCTCTTTATTCATTGGATCCACAAAAACACTGATTTTTGAGCCATAACCTTCCACATAAAACAGCCTTTATCATCATTCCATTCCTCAATGTCACTCAATACTTAAATTGAAAATCACATATTTAATTATCAACTCAACTGGTTTCATTTGTCTTTCACTCATTGTGGATTTTCGCCTCCTCCAACCTTTGCCTCTATGTCTATACCAATTATTGGTCGCTTAACCCAACACTCACCCAGAATTTAGTAAAGAAAATACTGAATCTGGTTTTGGAAGGTCTCAGTAGAGGCTGTGGTAGTGCTGCTGAGAAGCTCTATGACCTTCATCAAGATATCTATCTTCCAGGAAAACCTCAGTGGAAAGCATCAATTTACTTTTAGAAAATGAAGAATTTCAGCCCAGAAATCTCTAAGGCCCATTACAAAAAAAATACATTCTATTAATATATGGTTTCTTGGTTTCCAAGGCCATTATAGATCAGAACTGAATAAGATTTAAAGAAGATGGATGTGGCATCTCACACCTAGAATCCCAGCACTCTGGGAGGAAGGCTGAGGCAGGGGCATCACAAGTTTGAATGCAATCTGAGCAATTTAGTAATCCTGTCTCAATATAAAAAATAAAAAAGGGCTAGGTATGTGGCTCAGTGAGAAAACCCTAAGTTTAATCCCCAGAACTACTGAAAATAAAATAAAATAAAAATACACTGAATGGAAGAAACAAGAAATAAGCACTAATATGGTAAAGCAGTAGGCAAAACATAATATCAAAACTGTGGTACATGAGGAAAACATCAAATAATTTGTATGAGTTTCCTCAGGAATGGTTGATGTGCTTCATGTTCTCAGTGACATTAATATAAGTGTATGGAAAACTGTTCCTGGACTATCTCTGCCCTCAGACTTTCCTGGTGGCATATCTTCCTTGTTGAACTGATGTTCACTAGAGAACAAATTAAATATCTGTATTTGTAGCAACAGAGAAAAGGAAAGAGGTGTGGAATTAGACACCCACTTAGAAAGAAGTGTCAGTAACAGGTATGGAAGAAGTAAAAATATCAAAGGCAGCCTCTTCATCAATTCATAGAGTCCACTTCGGAAAGTCAGTAGAATTTCTCTGGAGTGATATGATTAAACACTAGGTAGCAAGTGGGAAGCATGGCCCAGAAATGAACAAATATAACTTGGAGGCTCATGGCACAAAGTTTTCTCTATGCCAGAGACACATCCTTGAGCCAGGACAAGCCAAAGGCCAGAGGAGAAGCAATACAATTTTAAAACAACTGAAATATTCCAACATGTTAAGAGGATGCATTGGTATTTTCCGGGGCCTACAGACTCTTATCCTAACCCTGAAATTAGCTAGTGGAAAGACCATGGGTACATGGATGTGAATACTGGGTTAGTTCTAGTCCTACTTCAAATCAACTGTGCCTGAGATTTCTTATCTGTAAAAAGGAGTTGACTTTATTATGATTCCAATATTGAAGAATTATGGTTTCCAAATAGACGAGAAGAGACCACCAAAGACAGACATGCTCTCATTCTTAAGAAGTGTTTAAGATTTAAAAATGGCATAGGTGACTTCATATTTCCTTTAACCCCTCTGCTCCAAACACACATATGACAGTTAAGCTGGGTTGTCAACCTAATTGGCTTTAGAGCCCCTGTGGGGATTAGAAAAACTTACTTGTGGGTGTCCGTGGAGGTTGTGGGGTATGATCTTGAGGTTTATATCTGGTCCTTGATCCCTTCCTCTCTGCCATAGCCCCTACTTTTCTTGCCAGGAACTAGGTAGCTTTGCTCCACTACACTCTCTGCCGTGATGTTCCTGCCTCGGATTGAGATGACCATGGACTGACTCTCCTGAAATCATGAGCCAAATTAAACTTCTCAAATTGCAGGTGTCAGGTACTTTTGTCCCAGGAGGAGTAAAACTGATCAACACAACACAATAATGGTAGATAAAATATAAATGTTTTAGTTTTTCCCACAAAATATTAAAATATTGAACAAAAACAAAAACAAAAAGGAAGAAACAATATTGAAAGCAAAGTTCTGAGTCTGAAAATAAAAATTAGAGTAAGAGAGTAAAACTGTTGGCATATTGTACCAGGAGTGCATCAGCAATGCCACAGCAGAGAAAAAAACTTCAAAGCACTCTAACAACTTAGATTGGGGTGGATTTCAAGGGAGGGGCAACCTTAAAACAACTCCACATGAAGAAAAAAAGGTGGAAAAACAAAAATAAGCTGGTTTCTATTAGGGTGAAGAAAACACACTGTAGCCTTTCTCGCTCTGTGATTATAAATAAAACATCTGGGGAATAGGGATGCAGCTCACTGGTGCTGCACTGTGCCTGCATTGCAAGAACAATGTCCTGAGTTTGATCCCCAGTACTGGAATAAACAAATCTCTGAACAAAATATGAAAAAATGACCATCAAGTCTGAAAGACAAACGAGATCAAATAAATAATAGTGTAGAGTGAAACTT